GTTGGCTCTGGTCCTGATTTTAAGAACAGTGCAAAAGTTACTAATTTCTTTCCTTCCTCCTATTCTTAAAACCTAAATCTTTTATCTTTTTCTCTTATTTACTTAAGAAACTTAGTCAAGTAGATGCCAGTAAATTGCAACACATGAAATTTACTGTTTATGTCAACTCTGAGTGAAATTTTTGTGCGTTATTATAACTTGTGTTTTTATTCATATTTGTATGTTTATTCTGTTCATATATCTAAAATAAATTACTTTATTTTTGAGAAATCTGACGAGATCACAAGTTCTTTTTTCATTCATGATCGGAGGGGTATTTCATTATTTCTGATTTCAATTCTTGCAAGATCTTGCTGGATTACATTTATGAAAATTAGGCTGGATCTGATCTTCATAATAGTAATCCCTACACAGGTAACATTTCCAGGGGCCTCATGTATAAACAGTGCGTACGCTCAAAAGTTGTGCGCCAGGTTTTACACCCACGTTGGGATGTATCAAAACCAATGTTGCGTTGAGTGTGCTTATATTTGCGCACACTTTTCACCTGCCGTGAGAATGTGCAGCAGCCACGCAAAGTTTTTCAGTTGACAGTTTTAACTCACAAAGTCATAAATCTGACCTGAATCCACAGAAATATGACTTGTGTTTTCTGTATGTAAGGAGCGTTTGAACATGGTGTTTCGAGTTTTTATTGTGTTAAACTCTCTCATGAAACTGAACCCCGGGACTGAAAATCATTTAACCTCAGACAAGAAAATAGATCAGCCTAAAAATGATCAAAAGAACCTCGGTCCAGTCTGTAAACTTTTTAAATTGTCAAGTAGTTGGAAACACACGGAGCGCGCGCACACAGAGGGAAATGAAATGTGTGAATTGTCTAAAACATTTTCACTGTGAAAAAAATGTCAACTCAGCAGATTAATTCAGAACAGCTCGGCTGTGATGATTCCTCTGCTCCACAAGATGCAGACAATAGATTTTGCTGTGAAGTTGTGTGTATGGATCAATGTCAGCTGCTCCCATCCCACACCGTGGCAGAAACTCGCAGCGTTGCAAGTTGTTCCTTCACTTCAACCATTTAATATTTTTAAAGTTCTAAAAACTCATCAGTTCCTCTGTGTTTACAGTCAATTATTATAAAGACGTGGAAATATCTCTCAGCCTCATGTGCCGCTGAAAATAACAGCACGCGCGTACACACCAACACCCACACACCTTTGCGAGTGGCAAAATCATTTTTACACTCCACTAATTATTTAGACAGTTTTCTCACTCATTCTCCATTTAATGTATAATTTTCCTGCATCTAAAAATCATTTCTGATCCCACAGAGAGGACAATCTGAGGAGAATCTCACATGCTGGACATATTTACATCTATTTAACATATTTAAATGGAGGCATGTCAGGGGAGGAGTCTCAGGTGCGCTCAGTTCCATGTTCATTAGGATGTTTAAAGGAAAGGTGCGCAGGAACCTGCGTGTGCACGGTTTTATACATCTGAATGTTTTGGTGCGGCGCACTTTTCTAAATTTGTCCGTATGTCAACTTTTAGTGTAAAAGCTGCGGAATCCTTTATGCATGAGGCCACTGGAGAGCAGACTCGGAAGAGCTAGGATAAACTTCAGAGGTCATCAGAGGAAGGCACAAGAGAACACAGGTAAGTTGATACTTTGTGCAGCCAAGAAGTATACCACTGGCAAATGATGTTCAAGCGAAGGTCTGCTTCTCAGTGAGGTCCTTATAGAGGAGTCATCTCTGGAAATGAGGAGCAGCTGCGACCAATTGCTGCCAGCCAATCAAGGTTTCGAAGGCGTGGCAAAGTGGAAAAGTATAAACAGGTTTTAAACTAGGGAGTCCCGATTCCTCAGAAGCAAGAGTAGATATGTCAATAATGGAATAAAAACAAGCTAAATCTTACATTGTAGATAGTTATTCAGTGCAATTATATTTAAATAATTATTATCAATACGTTCAAATTTATACTGATGCATCAAAAATAACTGGGAAAATAGGAATAGCGTTTGTAGTACCAGAATTCAATATAAAAATAGGAAAATGAATTACAGATGAGTTATCAGTATACACAGGAGAAGTGTTGGCAATTAGCTTTGCAATGGGTAGAAGATGTAAAACCATTAAAAACGATAATATGTTAAGATTCAAGCTCTGCATTATTAAGTTTAAAAAGTAATCAGAGAGATAGTAGGATGGACATTTTATTAGAAATATATCATACCTTATTCAGAATACAAAACATGGGTTTGATGGTTATATTTGTGTGGGTTCCAGCACATATTCGGGTAGAAGGAAACGAGAGGGCAGATAAAATGGCAAAGAGGGCAGTTCAGTATCCTATTAGTTTTACAGTTAAAATAAGTAAATCTGAAGGAAAGAGTATTGTTAAAGAGAAACTGATGAAAGTATGGCAAAAAAGRTGGGATGAAGATAAAACAGGATGATGGTTTTATATAATTCTGAAGAATGTTGGAGAAAGAAGAAATGGAAGTAGAAACAGAAAGGAGGAAAGAGTGATAACAAGGTTAAGATTTGGACATACAGGACTTACTGTAATTATACACTTTTTAAAATTCAAAAACATAAAACTGGAAAATGTGATCACTGTGATAAATATGAAACCATAGAACATGTTATATTAGAATGCCATAAATATGAAATAGAGAGAAGATATATGAAGAGAGAGTTTGAAAGTATTAAGGAGAAGGTTAATTTATTAGATATATTGAGGAAGAATTTAGGGAGTAAACATATRCAAATAATTATTYGATTTCTAAAGAAAACTAAATTATTTCATAGAATTTAATTATAGTAAGTGTGTTTGTGAATGAAGACATGATATACMAAGTTGGGCATAAGTATGTATGTATTAAGTGTGAATGTATGAGTGTATGTTTAGATAGAATGTATGGTAGAATAAATGTATATACAGTATAGATGAGGATAAATATTTAAACCATCATGAACCACACTCCATACCAGTAAGTGGCGGTAATGCTACTAACAGTTTGTTGCCATCCTCCATAAATCCAAGAAGAAGAAGAAGAAGAAGAAGAGTCCCGATACCAGTGTTGCTCAAATCTAGTACGTGCACTACAGTGTTGGTACTCTTCAATACCAAGGCAAAATGGGATACCATTGTTTAGAACATCAGATGGGGCCATTTAGACATCTTTTTCAGACATGGCCTTGCATACATGTATTTCAGCAAGACCATGTAGTGCATCCCAGGTGCTGATCTGGCCTTCCTGCAGTCCAGACCTCTCAAAATAACATTTGGTCAATCTTAAAATAATTAAGCTTTCAAAGCTTTCAAAATCTCCAGCAGCAGTTTCAAATTGGGAAACATAAACCTGGAACAACTTTAAAGACACTGGCATTGCTGCGTTCAAATTCACAAATTCTTCTTCATCATTTTTTTAAATGGTACAGTTTTTTGGTTTGTTTACCATGTTCCATTGTGAATATAAGTTTATGAAATGCACAAATCATTTGAATCTGTTTTTATTTACATTTTACACAACAGCCCAACTATTTCTGTGATTGGCCATAAGTTGTTGATTAATTTCTCCACCTACAGGCTCATTCAACATTTTCTCCCCCTTTTTTTTATAAAAGTTCTTTCAAATGGTGTTTAAATATTTGACCAGCTGAATGGGTACAAAACAAATATAGAAGTGAAAACACATATCTCCAAATGCTCCTCGTCTGTGCAATGATTTCAGATTGATTTAAAGGATTGTAGTGGCTGGATGCTGTTGACTGTTTGTTTCCCTTCAGAATTTGTTCAGTTCACAGAGCTGTATTTGTAATGTCCCAAACACAAACAAAAATTTGCAGTCAGACTGTATCTCTTTTTTTGTTCTGGAATCTGACAAAAATAGGGGACAACAATCCCTCAGACTTCACCAACTTACCTTTATATTGAACAAAAAAACTGTATTTGTAATGTCTATCACATCCATTCTTTGCTGTTTAAAATCCTTAAATTTACAGGGAACATGGTGAAAATGACCCGATCAGCCAACAAACCTTCATACAACCAGTCTGCGAGCCCGTTGAAGATGACTCCTTCCCTTCCGGAGGAGGTGATTCTCAGAGAGTTGCTCCTCACGTCTGACTGGTAGTAGATGTTGTTCTCAAAGATGTAGATCTGTGGAGGAAACATGAATGTTTACCTAAACTATGCTGCCAAAAGTATTCACACAGCCTTCCAAACCACTTAATTGAGGTTTTTGAGTCACTGCTGTTGTCACAGGTGCATTAAATCAAGGACCTGCATGCAGACTGCTTCTACATTTGTGAAAGAATGGGTCACTCTCAGGGCCTCAGAGCTTTTCTATAGATATTGTGATGAAGCCACCAGTGCAATAATTCCAGTCATGAAATTTCTTCACTGCTAAATATTCCTCAGTCTGCTGTTAGTGGTTTTACAACAAAATGGAAGTGGTTGGGAATGACAGCCGAGTCAAATCACAGAGCAACAGATGCTGAGGCCACCAACATTCTGCAGAGTCATTAGCTGCAGACCACAGAACTTCATATGGCCATCAGATTAGCTGAAGAACAGTGTGTATAGAGCTTCATGGAATGGGTCTCCATGGTAGAGAAACTGTATCCAAACCTTCGGATGCAGTGGTGTAAAGCACACGGCCGCTGGACTCCAGAGCATTGGAGACGTGTTTTCTGGAGTGATGAATCACGCTTCTCTGTCCGGCAATCTGATGGACAAATCTAGATTTGAACTTTAGTTTTCTGACTGGATTAGGCCAATTATAATGGTGGAGGGGGATTATTATGGTGTGGAGTTGTTTTTTCATGAGTTTGGCTTGGCTGCTTAGTTCTAGTGAGAAGTACTCTCTGAATGCTTCAGCATACCAAGACATTTTGGACAATTCGACGCTCCCAACGTTGTGGTAACTGTTTGAGAATGGCCCCTTCCTTTTCCAACATGACTATACACCAGTGCAAATAGCAAGGTCCATAAAGAGGTGGATGTCAGAGTCTGGTGTGGGTGATCTTGACTGGTCTGCAGAGTCCTGACAGACCAATAAAACACCTTTAGAATGAATTATAGTGATGACTTTGAGTCACATCTTCTTGTCCAACATCAGTATGTGACCTCACATATATGTTTCTGGAAGAATGGTCAAAAATCCCCATAAACACACTCCTAAACCTTGTGGACAGACTTCCACAAGAGTTGAAGCTGTTTTAGCTGAAAAGGTTGGACCAACGTCATGTTGAACCCTATGGATTAGGAATGGGACATCACTCAAGTTCACATGTCTGTGAAAGAACACAAGCGAATACTTTTGGCAGTAGAGTGCATTTTTTTAGAAGCTGTAGTATTATCATTAAGCTACTTCATTTGTCTGATTTCCCCTTAAAAGGATCCCTGATTAGTTGTAACATTAAACTTTATTTGATAAACATTTATTTTAACTGTAAAATAATGACCGTAAAAATACTGTAGGCTGTTTAGTTTTGTAAATTTTTTTAAATATATTTTAACACGGACGGAGCCATTTTATTTACACGCAAAGCATTCTGGGTAAATGATGACATCAACTAGGTCATCGGTGCGATGAGCTGCTTCATGGAAGAAGAACTTTAGCTTAGCATGTTAGCCTTTGTGCTAGCGCCTACACTATATTGGCTGTGTCCAAAATGGCAGGACGGGTCCTCCGAAGGTCGAATTCGTCGGCCGCATACGTCACAGC